GTGTCCCTTGTCTCTTGTTACCATCCGCCTAGACGCACAGTTCAGGACCCCCTACCCGAGATCCGCCGGTTTTGACACCGTCAACCAGGTTTTCTTCAACCTCATGAGATTCCACCTCACCCATGGCACACCATCAGTTGGGATTTTGTGGAGGGTCTACCAAAGTCCAATGGCTTTGAGGTGATCCTGGTCGTCATCAACAAGATGACCAAATTTGCCCATTTTCTGCGGCTGATATGTCCATTTTGCATCATGTTTTTATGTTCATATTTACTGCGGGCAGCTGGAATTCTGGACCGGAAAGGAGCAAATCTGAGATACCTATTCTGCACAACTCCAAATGTCCTGAAACTTTACGGAGAATTGTTTTGGAATATATAAAAAAATATTGGGCGAAGAAACTACAGAAGGGGACCCACCAGGTAGCCACAAGCTTGGGGGCGCGCCCCAAGGTTTGTGGGGCCCCTGGCCGTCGTCTGATGCCCATCTTCTGCTATATGGAGGATTTTGACCTGGAAAAAAATCAAAAGGAAGCTTTTGGGACGAAGCGCCGCCGTCTCGAGGCGGGACCTGGGCAGGAGCAATCTAGGGCTTCGGCAGAGCGATTCTGCCGGGGAAACTTCCCTCCGGGAGAGGGAAATAGAAGCCATCTTCATCACCAACAATCCTCTCATCGAGGGAGGGCCAATTTTCATGAACATCTTCACCAGCACCATCTCCTCACAAACCCTAGTTCATCTCTTGTATTCAATCTTTGCCTCAGAACCTCAGATTGGTACTTGTAGGTTGGTAGTAGTGTTGATTACTCCTCATAGTTGATGCTAGTTGGTTTATTCGGTGGAAGATCATATGTTTAGATCCTTAATGATATTTATTACCCCTCTGATCTCGAACATGAACATGCTTTGTGAGTAGTCATTTGTTCCTGAGGACATGGGAGAAGTCTTGTTATAAGTAATCATGTGAATTTGGTATTCGTTTGATATTTTGATGAGATGTATTTTGTCTTTCCTCTATTGGTGTTATGTGAACGGCGACTACACGACACTTCACCATGATTTGGGCCTAGGGGAAGGCATTGGGAAGTAATAAGTAGATGATGGTTTGCTAGAGTGACAGAAGCTTAAACCCTAGTTTATTCGTTGCTTCGTAAGGGGCTGATTTGGATCCACATGTTTCATGCTATGGTTAGATTTATCTTAATTCCTCTTTCGTAGTTGCGGATGCTTGTGAGAGGGGTTAATCATAAGTGGGGGGCTTATCCAAGTAAGGAAAGCACCCAAGCACCGGTCCACCCACATATCAAACTATCAAAGTAATGAACGCGAATCATATGAGCATGATGAAAACTAACTTGACGACAATTCCCATGTGTCCTCGGGAGCACTTCGCTTTATATAAGAGTTGTCCAGGCTTATCCTTTGCTATAAAAAGTATTGGGCTACCTTGCTGCATCTTTGTTACACTTGTTACTTGTTACCCGTTACGAATTATCTTATCACAAAACTATCTGTTACCGATAATTTCAGTGTCTGCAGAAAATACCTTGCGGAAAACCACTTGTCATTTCCTTATGCTTCTCGTTGGGTTCGACACTCTTTACTTATCGAAAGGACTACGATAGATCCCCTATGCTTGTGGGTCATCAGCCGCTCAAGCGTCCCTACACCGCTCGTCAGGTGGCCCTGGTGTTCATTGATCAAATCTACAGGCTCCATGGCATGCCATCTAGGATCATTTCAGACAAAGATCCAGTCTTCACAAGCGCCTTCTGGCAAGAGCTGTTTCACTTGTCGGATACCATCCTCAATATGAGCTCAACACGCCATCCGGAGACAGATGGACAAACAAAGAGGTTGAACTAGTGCCTAGAAGCTTTCCTTCGGTGCTCCATTCACGACACCCCAAGCCAGTGGTCCAAATGGTTATCATCGGCAAAGCATTGGTACAACACGTCTTATCATACAGCGGCTGGATGCACCCCGTTTGAGGCTCTGTATGGTTACCAGCCTCAAGCATTTGGCATCTCCGCTCCAGCATCCACGACGGAACTCCAAGACTTGGTGGCCGATCGCGACCCAATTCGTAAAATGCTTCGCCAACACCTCACGCGGGCTCAAGCAAGGATGAAGCGGCAAGCAGACTAGCATCACACAGAATGCTCCTTTCAGGTGGGTGATCAAGTTTTTCTCAAGGTCCATCCCTACCTAAAAAACTCCATGGCTGCTCGGCGCAATCAAAAGCTAACCCTGAAGTTCTACGGGCCATACCAAGTTTTGCAGCGTGTCGGCGCTGTCTTCTACAAGCTGGCTCTTCCGGCGAACTCCGGGGTCCACGACGTGATCCACGTCTCTCAGCTCAAGAAGCAAGTCCCTCCCAAGTTCTTCGTCGAGCCAGGCATGAGCACGGTGGAGCCGCGCAACCTGTCGTTGCTACAGTCGGCGACGATCCTGCAGATGAAGCTCATTCAGTGTGGCGGTTCAGTGAAGCCTCGGCTGAAGGTACGTTGGCGTGATCGCCCCGACACCCAAGATTCTAAGACGCATTCGCTCTGTAGCAGATTCTTCCTTCGACGGCTTGGGGGCAAGCCGCTCCTCAAGGGATGGGGAATGTTATGCCGCGGCCCAACCCAGGAAGGAGGCCCAAGGCCTGTCGCCGCTCACGCCTGCTAGACCGGGCCTGGAGGGCAGGAGGAACCCAGTGTGGCGACACAGCATCGAGAGGTAAAGAGAAGCAGGTGGAGACAAAGAGGGTCGTCGATTAGTAGAAGCAATTCCCCACTTTCCCTCTTCCTCTTGTAAACCCTAGCTACCTCCTATGGAATTGGAGATTGTAAGCAGAGACATAACAGCGCCCCACACCACATATGCTTGCTACAACTCCCTCCGTCCAAAAATACTTGTCATTAAAATGGATTAAAAATGTATCTAGAACTAAAATATGTCTAGATACATCCCCTTTTTGAAGTCATGACTGCCAAAGGGTTTGGTACGAGATGGATGACATGGGTGGCGATCCTGCTGCAAATGGCAACCACCAAAGTGATTGTTAATGGCGTGGCTGGGAAGAGTTTTGGGCACGCGTGCGGGCTTCGCCAGGGGGATCCTATCTCGCCTCTGCTCTTCGTCATTGCTATGGATGTTCTGATGAAACTCGTTCAGCGAGCTATGGCGGCTGGTGTGCTAAGCTCTTTCCATGGGATCACGGCCATGCAAAGGATCTCGATATACGCGGATGACGTAGCCTTGTTTATCAAACCTACAGTCATGGATTTGAGCTTTGTGAAGGAGACTTTAAAAGCTTTTGGTGAAGCTTCTGGGCATAAGGTGAACTATCGGAAGTCGTCGGCCATAGTGCTTAGAGGGGATGTGGACGACAGACAAAGGGTGGCTGCACTACTCCAGTGTGACTTAGCGGAATTCCCGTGCAGGTACCTTGGCCTACAGCTTGCCATCAAGAACTTGACTCGCGCGGAACTTGACCCGCTTGGCAAAGGGGGTTGATTCAACGACCTGGCAGGTTGATCCTGGTGTAATCTATCATCTCTGCTAGGCCGATACATCACCTAATGATTGTGGACGCCCCTGTCTGGGTGTTTGAGGAGATTAACAAGTGGATGAGATCCTTCTTTTGGGCCAGCAAGGACAAGGTTAATGGTGGACAATGCCTCGTCGCATGGGACATCTGTCGACCTAAGTGCCACGGTGGGCTTGGAGTGAAGAACTTACAACTTCAATCTTTGGCGCTAAGGGTCAGGAGGGAATGGCTAAAGCGTATGGAGCCTGCGAGGCCGTGGCAGGGCTTACCAATGATCGAAGATAGATTGGCAAGGGGGGTGTTTGATAGTTTGGTTCATATTCAAGTTGGATCAGGTGATAGCGTTCTGTTCTAGAGGGATCGGTGGATACACGGATATGCAGTAGCTGACATTGCTCCACTCCTGCTTATGACGGTCCACGCGAGGGTGATCAATACAAGAACAGTGCAACAGGCACTGCTCAACAACAAATGGATGGAGGACTGTCAAATTGAGATCTCTTTCATGGCTCAAATGCAATGCATGCATCTCTGACATGCGGTGGCGACAGTTGACAGACGTGAGACCGAGCAGGATGTCTTCACCTGGACTTGCTCATCTTCTGGTCAATACTCAGCCAAGTCAGTCTATTCCAGCCTTTGCAATGGATGGCCTAAATCGCCCATGGCAAAGTGTGTTTGGAGAAGTTGGGCCCCTCTTAAGTGCAAAATCTTTGTTTGGCTCGCAATGCAGTACAGGATATGGACGTCGGACAGGAGGGCTAGACATGGGCTTTAGGATGAGAGCTCAGCATGCTACACGTGCTTACAGGATGAGGATAATGCTGGTCATATTCTTCTGCAGTGCCCGTACGCTAGGGAGGTCTAGTATAGGACATGGGACACCCTGCAGATTAACATCTCTCAATCACTCGCAAATGAGAATACCCTGGAGTGGTGGCTACGAGCACGAAGAAGCTTCCTAGGAGCGCTTTGTGGAAACAGAGGAAGGCAAGAGTCTTCAGTAGGGTAGATCAACAAAAAACTTCTCTGGAGCTTGTTACTAGTACGTTATTGGAGGTAGCTGGGTGGTCGCAGGCGGTAGGTGGTGTTGGTGGTCTACAACGGTTAATGAGGAGTTAGCTTAGATGTAGTCTGGGTGGTGTTGGTCTTGGTGTAACCATATGTGCCGGATGTTCGCATTTGAGCCACACTTCTTGTAATTATGCTTTCTTCATCTTCTATAAAAATATGGTACGCTATTAGCGTACTCTCGAAAAAAAATCCATTTTGATGACAAGTATTACCGGACGCAGGGAGTACAACCTAAAACAACAGCCCAAATCATGCATGCATGTTCTCAAGGATTGATTGAACCAGGAGATTGTTTCAAAAAAAGTTAAAAATGAACCAGGAGATGGCAATGGCAATCACCCAATCAAATGAATCAATCAAGGTTGCCAGCTTGGACGAGCAGCAGTCGATCAGGCGCTCCCAACCCTGGAGACCCTGGGAACCTCGACGGGGAAGCGGTCGATCTCGTCCGCCCACGGGTTCTTCTCCTCGGCCTCCGGCGCCACCGTGCGCAGAGCCCTCCAGACGGCGCTGTTGCACTTGAATCCGGAGCCGAAGGCGATCTGCCAGACCCTGTCGCGCCGCCCGATGCGGCCCTTGGCCTCGCTGTAGGCCAGCTCGTACCACAGCGAGCTGCTCGACGTGTTGCCGAACCGGTACAGCGTCATCCGCGACGGCTCCATGTGCCACTCCGTCAGCCCCAGGTTCTTCTCCAGCTCGTCCAGCACGGCGCGCCCGCCCGCGTGGATGCAGAAGTGCTCGAACGCCAGCTTGAAGTCCGGGATGTAGGGCTTGATCTTCACCTTGAAGGCCTTCTTCGCCACCAGCGTCGCCATGAACAGCAGCTGCTCCGACAGCGGGAGCACCAGCGGGCCCAGGGTGGTGATGTTGGTCTTGAGCGCGTCGCCGGCCACCGCCATCAGGTCCTTGGAGAGCGACACGCCCACCTTGCCGGCCTCGTCCTCCTGCTGCGTCACGCAGCCGAAGCACTTGTCGTCCGCGCCCTTGTGGGTGCGGACGGTGTGCACCAGCTCGTACTTGGAGCGCCGCCGGTCGGACCGCCGGTTGGAGAGCAGGATCGCCGCGCCGCCCATCCGGAACAGGCAGTTGGACACCAGCATGGAGCGGTCGTTCCCGAAGTACCAGTTGAGGGTGATGTTCTCCATGCTGATGACCAGCGCGTACGAGTTGGGGTGCACCTGCAGCAGGTCCTTGGCGAGGTCGATGGACAGCAGCCCGGCGCTGCAGCCCATCCCGCCCAGGTTGTAGCTCACAATGTTGCCCCTCAGCCTGTAGTGGTTCACCACCATGGCCGACAGCGACGGCGTCGGGTTGAACAGGCTGCAGTTGACGACCAGGATGCCGATGTCCTTGGGCCTCACCCCGGTCTTCTCCAGCAGCTGGTCGATGGCGCCGAACATGACGGTGCTCGCCTCCTTGCGCGCCTCGTCCATGCACGGGTTGGGGGGCACCCGGAGCACGGCGGGGGGCAGATAGGTGTCCTCGCCCAGCCCCGAACGCTCGAGGATCTTGCGCTGGAAGTCGAGGTTGGCGTCGGTGAAGGAGCCGGTGGCCTCGGAGCAGCGCATGAAGGTCTGGCGCGTGCACCGGCGCTCCGGCTCCGGCTTGTAGCAGGCGAAGTCGACGAGGTAGACGGGGCGGGGGCGGGTGAGGAAGTAGACGGTGGAGAGGAAGACGAGGAGGGTGGAGCAGACGAGCACGGAGACGAGGTTGAACCGGAGCTGCTCCCACAGGTCGGCGAGGTCGCCCGGGGACACGGTGGAGAGCTGCACGGCCACCAGGGCCATGAGCGGCGACAGCAGCAGGTACATGCCGTGGGAGATGAGGTGGTGGTACCCCAGCTTCACGTACTTGAGCCGCACCGACTGGAGGAAGTCTGGCAGCAGCCGCGGCTGCGCTGCTGGCTCCGCCGCCGGCGCCGGTGGGTTGGCGGCATTGGGCGCTGGAGAATCCATTCTACTGACAAACAAACAACAGTTAAAATAAATTTCAGAAATCCCAAGACAAGAATTCTGGAATGCTGCTACAGTGGTTGGGTTTAGGAGCTGAGATGCAAATCTATGGCGTTCCCGGGCAGCGATCCCAAAACCCCGCACGAATTACACATGCAACGAGCACGGAAACTACTGGAAGAAAAACAGTCCTCCTCCGAGATCGAGCAACAGGACTGAACACACCAGCTCAGGGGAAGACAAATTCAGCGACCACCGAGAGATCAGAGACCGCCACAGAATTCCCGAGACCAAGAACAGCCGCACGACCACAGCCACTCCGGTCCGGCGGCCGCCACCGACCCACCACGCAGAGCTCGAACAATGCGTCAAATCAAATCGAGACTAGACCGCCGGCACAGCTCCGTACCCAGGCAACAATCGCCGGTAGAAGCGGCCGAATCCCCCGATCCGTTGCGCGTGGGAGGACGAGGAGGAGGAGCGGAAGACGACTCGAGCCTCTCCGCCGCCCCGCCCCGCTTCTCTCTATGTGCCTGTGCGTGGCACCAATCCGGCCGCGAGCACCGCGTGGTGGCAGGCAGCTCGGCCTCGCGTGTCTTTAATAGGGGAGAGAGGCAGAGGCAGAGGAGAAAACGGCACGGGAAACAAGCCAAGCAGCAGCTGGGAGAGACACGCAGGAGAAAGTCACGTCGCCTTTTCTTCTCTGTTTTGTTTCAGTCAGTTCCAACCTCCGAGTCCGCGGCGGCTCTGCGTGACTTCGCCTGGCTTTCCTCAAAGTATCCATGACGTCCTCCCTCCTCTCGACTTTCGGTGTTGGACTTTGACACTGCAATATTTGACCGTCAACTGTTTTTTTTATTGAATCCTTCAATATTTCTAGAGCTTCTTTTACGGTGATGTTATTGCCTGGCGAACGGTCGCCAGGAACACCCCTCCAGCGACCCCTCTGGCTGCCGCACGATCAAGATCTGATGGTGTCAGTTTCTAGATGAAAAATGCACTAAAATAAACAAAACACCATGCTTTTTGTAAAACTGCCATCCCCAAAACACTAAAACTGTCATCCAGGCAGTTCGCAAATGCCACCCCTAGCTGGCGGACCGTCGCTAGCTAGAGGGGTCCTTCTTTTAACCGAAGAGTTCTTCAAAAGGAAACACGAGTGGACGTAGAACCCAACAGCCTTGAATGACCGCGCGTCCCAAAACATGCCTAAAAGCTCGGAAATTCGGCTATGCACCGTGCCAACCATCAGATTGCCTCACGGCCCGTAAAGTTGATGGATCTCACAAAAGGGCATAACAAGATTTTAGGTAGTTTCTGAAACTTACGATTTTGTCGGTCATAGGTTTTGAAACTTACAATTTTATCGGTTACTCATACCAAGTTTTAGAGTTGAAGCTTACAACTTGTGATTTTATCGGTCGCTCGTACCATGTTGAAACTTAGAACTTAAGATTTTGCCGGTCGTAGGTTTCAAAACTTACAAGTCTGCCGGTCGCACGTACCAAGTTTCATAGTTGAAACTTAGAACTTACGATTTTGTCGGTCGCAGGTTCCAAAACCTATGATTCTGCCGGTCGCACGTGCCAAGTTTCAGAGTTGAACTTTAGAACTTACGATTTTTGCCGGTCGTGGGATCCAAAACTTATGATTCTGCCGGTCGCACAAATCAAGTTTCAGAGTTAAAACTTAAAACTTACGATTTTGTCGATCCATGTTCTAAAGCTTACGACTTTGTGATAAAGACCGAACCTCGATGACGAGATCTGATCTGTTGTTGCGGCCCGACCTTTCACGACACTCCACCTTCAGCACTAGTAGCCTCTCGCCCGCGCACGCGATGTACACGAAGTAGAGGGTTTGAATCTTGCGGCCCAGCACGAGAAAACCAATCTTGACGAAGGTACTCACGCGCAAAACAATTTCCACGAAGAGAAATCGCAACACAGAGGTTTTCTAAAGGTCGCTCCAAAACTTGATACGGGTGTCTACCCTGAAAAACACATCGTGTCTATTTCATAAAAATATAACCTGCCCGTACAATGAACGCCCCATAGCTATATATAATAGCCGGACACTAATTGGCATATTGCCCTCTCGCACACACGTTATAACAAGTCTAAAAAAACAAATATATCCCTATACGACTTACACGGCCAAACAATAAAATAAAAGGAAACTTTAACCTAATTTGGACTCTACCATCGGGATGATTATGGACTCTAATTGGATTGGTGTGCCATGCATCTTCTAGTGCATCTCGATCTTCAGGTGGACCCCAACCGACTTCTTTCAAGGAAAATAAACTCCATGCATCACACGTCCTGCTCGCTTCTGCCTGGAACTTCTCTTTGCGTGGGAAGAATAGAAATAGGAAATCTGCAACCTTCTCCTTAATGCCTTGATCATCTATTAATGAACATGAACCTTCGTGTGTATCATGCAAACCAAGCCCTCCAAAATATTTGTACGTGCATGCATTTTTGCCTGGAAACACGTAGAATTTCTTGTCCTCTCTCAGCCCTTCTAGCTGGAACCATGTAGTGTGCTTCACAGGAATAACGAGTAATTCTTGTTCATCGTTGTAACTTGTCATCAGGTATACCGATGTATATGTAGCGTATTTTTGGACAACACCGGCTTCAGGCAAAACAACAATGACCTCGGTATTTATATCACAAGGGGTCATATCACTTTGTGTGTCGCATGTATCAAGTTTCAGAAGTTGAAAATTTAAAAAGCTCATTAAAATGTATTTAAAATGGATCTCATTTGAAAGCACTCACCATCGGAAACACAAATATGCAAACGGAATTTAATTTAGACTTTTGGTTCAAAAGATATGAAAGACAAAAAGATCAAAAGCCAAAATAAAATGGGCTGCACGCCCCGCACCTGCATGCTACAATACACCCCCCATAAAAGCTAATGAATTGACCTCGTTAGTCATCGGATAAGCTCACACAAATCTTGGCGCAGACAGCGTGACATCTCAGATGAAACATTCGCTCGGTTGTCTCCCACGCATGACACCATTGCATCAGCCTTTCTAAAAAAAACCACATCGCATCAGCCTTATCCTCCGCACTGTGGGAAGAGGAGAAGACCACTCCCCTCCTTGTCTTTCTCATTCAATGAGCAGCGGTCGACCTCCTTTCCTCCTCCTTGAGACACGGAGGATTCGAGGATAATATCTGCGGATGCAAGCCTTTTGGATCCGGAAGGCAAAAAATGGATCGAGGGGAGGAATAAGGAGATCAACCCGCGGAAGGAGTATGAGGGGGTGAGAGCGACTGTAGCAGCGGACGCGGCACAGATGGCGGCCGGCGAGTGATTCATCATGTTGGCCAGCTCTGGCCTCGACGTTGAATTTCATTTTGGCATGTCTGAAGTATTGAATTGAATTGTGATTTATTTTGCTTTGTTGCATTGTTGAATTATGATGAATTTATGTTATATGATCGACATGCTTGGATTTACATGGATTTGAAGGTTTGGATATGATGAGTGTGATTGTCCAGCAGAACTTTTGAGGGGCCATCCGGCACTATCAAGGGTCACGTCCCGGCACGTCCACATACATTTAGGGGAGGGGGGGGGGTTGAATTTGCCAAAGTTCAACTGTGGATGCTCTTACTTGAGGCCTGTTCGGATTCCCTCCCCTCCACAACTCCACACCCGGAGCTGGTGGAGCAGGAGTTCAAAATCACAGAGTGGGGACGGAGGTGCTGCACAGGCCCTGAGATTTCACGGACCGGGAGGATTGCCAAACAGCCCTTGGTCCCTACTAGAGTAAATATGACAAGGTGGATCGGGGCCAAGGAGGTATTTTCCCTGCATGGATGGTAGTTTATTATTTGGATCAATCCTCTGTCTCCTTGAGTTGTCTTTGTTTTTGTCGAACTATGTTTAATTCTCAAACTTTGAGTGTTTGGTATGATCTTTGTGCATCTTGTTATGCAGAGATTGAACGTGAACTCCTTATGGTCGTTGCATTGTTAAGGGCCGGTAAAATCTCTCTTTATCGGAAAAAAAGTAATTTAAACATCCAACAGAAATATTTCTTTTGACACAAAACTGTACACGCTAACCAGGTTGTTTCAGACTTGAAGTCATATAAACTCATAATTGCCATCACGCAATCGACGTACATCTGCCACCTTCGCTTTCTTGTGTACCTGACATTATGAAGTGGATTGGCCTCTTCTTCCGACTATCGACTTGGGATACACTAATCAATTAGGTACTGGCTAGAACTGAAATCGCAGTTAGGACTAAACTAATCAGACAACTGACAACCTGATCTACATTTTCCGCAAAAAGAAAAAAAAAGATAACCTGATCTATACGCATAGCATTATCAACTGAGCAACACGCCAAAAAAAAACATTATCAACTGAACCATTGACTAATAAGCAAAGAATGAAGGGAAGTTCCAAACATTTCCATGGAAGACTCTCATGCTGCGCTTCTGGCTTCTTTTGCAAATCATATCACGAGTCGTTGAGTGAACTGCAATCAGATGGTCTGATGATCCAAGGCAACCTTGACCATTTAATTATTCAACAACGATCGGCATGAGTGTAATTAAAACCTTTTGTTGTTTCTCTCAACTCGCCAATCACCGTAAAAGAGCTCATCTTGCATACTAATTTCCTCCTAGAAGCATCACACATTTAACATTTTAATTCTTTTTTTCTTTGCATATCTCTTCAAAAAGAAGGGCATTCGCGAAAAGGACTGCAGTATCACCAATGACTGCAATATTATGAAAAGAACACCTGTTGCCACCTTAGCTTTCTTGTGTACTTGGCATTGTGAAATACCATTCCACTTAGCTTTCTTGTGTACTACGTAGACACTATGAAGTGGATTGCTCTCCTTTTCCAGCTCTTGAGTTGTGAGAAACAAATTAATTATGTACTACTAGCTTGAACTGAAATCGTAGTTATGACTAAAAGAATCAAACAACCTGATCCGTACACCCTAGCATGTTCAGGTGT